TCACATGTATATCACATACAAATTCTGCACACATACATCATATCTACCTACATCACACATAATATATGCACATTATAAACGTTTCACCCTCACATCACACCCTACATGCACACACACAACTCTGCCACGTCTTCCTTGGGTACAAACTGTAGGGACACAGTGAATTCCAAGTGAACTAATTTGATTCCTCAAGCACAGCAGCCGCACCCTGCAGGGGCCAGGGCCTGCAAGTGGAACATGGCAGCTTTTAGCACAGAACAGAACATTCCCATCACTGTAGAAAGTGCTGCAGGACAGAGCTGAACAGACTGCGGTCCTTTCTGAACTGTAGTATGATATGCCTTGGTTGAGGACAGTGGCTTTCAGTGACACATTTTAATCCTAGCAGTAGGAAGTAGAACTAGAGGTAGAAAGGGAGCCTGCTAAACCCAGGACCGACTGCTTCTGGCTCGCCACCCTTCTGGAGACTTCTGCACAAATCGGGGCATTGGGTGGTCTGCCCACCAGCTGTCCTGAGAGTCAGGCCTGGGGTCTTCCCAAGGCCCGGCATCAGCTTCTGCCACACAGTAGGCAAATCAGTCACGTGTCCCCGATGGGGACATTGTCTGGGTTGTGTGGACACTGTAGCAGGTATTCACACAGCCTGGACAGCATAGCCTGTTCTACACCAGGCTGTGTGTGGCCCATCGCTCCTTAGCTGTAAACCCGTGTGTGGCACTGCACTGACTGCTGTGGGTGAGCGGTAAAATGGTGACCAGTACGGGACACCTACCTGGCACTGACCCAGCAGGCTAGGAAGCAGGCTTTAGGTGGTGACTGCACCTTGCTGCAGACTTCAGACACTGCAGCTGCGCCACATCTGTAAAAAAGTGGTTTTCTGGCCAGGCAAGGTGGTATACTTGGGAGGCTGAGGCAGAAGGCTCAAGTCCAGCCTGAACTCCAAAAAAAAAGGTTTTCTGTCATTAATAATAAGTGAACCTAGCTTACAGTAACTTGTGCTTTAAATTTTTTTTTTAACTTTTTGACTCTAGGAATAACAGCTTAAAACACAAACACATTGTATGGCTGTATAGAAATATTTATATCCTTATTGCATGAGCTTTTTTCTATTTTTAATACTTTTTTTTACTTTTTTGTTAAAAGTTGGGACACATAAGCTGGGTGTGGTGGCGCATACCTGTAATCCCAGCACTCAAGAGGCTGAGGCAGGAGAATTGCTGTGAGTTCAAGACCAGTGGGCTATACTAGGCTCAAGTCCAGCCTGAACTCCAAAAAAAAAGGTTTTCTGTCATTAATAATAAGTGAACCTAGCTTACAGTAACTTGTGCTTTAAATTTTTTTTTTAACTTTTTGACTCTAGGAATAACAGCTTAAAACACAAACACATTGTATGGCTGTATAGAAATATTTATATCCTTATTGCATGAGCTTTTTTCTATTTTTAATACTTTTTTTTACTTTTTTGTTAAAAGTTGGGACACATAAGCTGGGTGTGGTGGCGCATACCTGTAATCCCAGCACTCAAGAGGCTGAGGCAGGAGAATTGCTGTGAGTTCAAGACCAGCCTGGGCTACATAGTGAGTTCTAGGTCAGTCTCAACTACATATGAGACCCTGTTTCAAAAAAACAACAAAAAAAATTAGGACACATAATAGAGCACTTGCCTAGCATGCATGAAGCCCTGGGTTCCTTTCCTAGTAACACACACACACACACAAACACACGCACGCACACACGCACGCACACAAAATAGAATAGTGGTTACCAGAGCCTGCATGGTTAACCAGTAAGGGGTGCTGCTGGCTACTAAGAATGACTTCTAACATTCTATAGCACCATAGATGACTACGATCGGCAGTAGTTGATTGGATATTTTACAACAGCAGAGAGGGTTTTGAATGTTACAACACAGAGAAGTGAGAGCTACCTGAAAAGATAGACAGCCAGTTACCCTGATCTGATGTCATCCTGTAGCCCACAAATACCTGTCCTTACTGTGTTAATTAAAAATAAAAGTATATTTAAAAAACAATGAAGTTAGGGCACAAGCACGCATTAGCTTAGGCCAATGCAAGGTCAGGATAATCAGTATTATCAGCTTCCACTTCCACCTCATCTTTTCCCTAAATGGTGCCTTCTGGAATTCCCCTTGAAGGCTAATTTTTAGGTATAGTGGACCCTCAAGTTACAACCGACCTGACATATGAACAACTTGAATTAATTAGGTTTATAGAAGATTCATCTGCCTGTTATGTGTAGCATGTACCCAAGTAAACATCTGGATTTCAGGTGTATTGACTTAGAACCCACTTGAGTTACAACCAGCCCTCAGGAACCAATTGAGGTTTGTTTGTTTGGTTGGTACTGGGGATCAAACTCAGGACCTTGCACTTGCAAGGCAGGCAGGGATTAAGTTCTTAAGTCAAGGGTCCACTGTAACTTTTTTAAAAAAATAGAAGGGGTATTTGTTGACAGGTCTGGTGATACAGGTCTGTAATCATAGCACTGTAGGAGGCTGAGGCAGGAAGTTTTGAATAAAAAGACCCTGTCTCAAAATAAAAAGTAAAAAAGAACTAGGGATATAACTCAGTGCAAAAGCCCTGAGTTTAACCATTAGTATGGGGGGAGGAATATATGCTAAAATAACTATAATAAACATAGTGTAGTAGACAAACTATTAATAACTATTTATTCACACTATCCAATTCAGATATTCCCCGTTTAATGGCTTTCAGACTTAGAACCAAGGTGTGGTCTTCAGACTTAGGACCACCGCTTGGACTTGCAGCCTTTGTTTTGTACAGCTCTGCAGATCTTGATAGAATCTCAACATCTTTTTTGTACAGTACACCTTATTAGTGTTGTCATTTTTGCTGATTGTACTGTACAGCACAGTACTATAGTTTTATGTTCTATTATACATTACAGTTTTGCATGTAAGAGTTGTGCAAATCAGTCAAGTTGGAGTTTCCTTTGGCCATTTCTTTGTTCTGAATATTGTAATGTATGTACTGTATATACTATACACAACTCATCCTTCAGTAACCAATTCAGTTAACGACCTCATCACAGGAATGTGACTCAGGCATAAACAGGAAGGTCTGCATTCCAGTACGTAATTGGATGGTAAACTTTCATACCACTGGCCATACTTACACTAGCATTTCCACATGTGAGGACTGTGTCACGCTGTATTTGCAACAGCTCCAGTGTCACAGGGTGATGGGGATCATTGTGCTACCCTATAATCTTGTAGATTGGCCCACTGCTTACTGAAATGTCATTGTGCAGAATGTGACTATAAAACATCAGCTGTTCGTTGATAAATAAAATGGGCTGTGCCTAGCCAGAACAATAAACAATATGTGATAAACAGATGCATATTGGAAAGTCCTCATTTTCCGTTTAGATAGTTACAAAAGCAGCAGTGTGCCTGGTCTCAGGTCGGCCCTCGCCTTCACCCGCCCCCCCGTCCTCCGTGATGCTGGGTGGAGGCAGGATTGGCTCCTGGGTGTGCAGTGGGTGTGCAGCCAGTGCACCTACAGGGGTCAGGCGCTCAGACAAGCTGTGCTTGAAATGTTTTAAATTTGTGTTGTGTAACTGGAGGCCATGGGACCAGGGAGCCTGGGAAGGCACCAGATGCCGGAGTCAGACTCCTGTGGGTCCCCCCACAGCCCCAGGCACAGTCAGGGAATCCTGTGGCCTCTTCCGACCCCTTTCCCGACTATCAGTACAGGTGGCCCAGGGTGGACCAGACTTGGGAGACAGGAACTGGGAGGGCTTCCCACCCACCTCATCCCAAGATGACATCCAGCCCAGTAGGGCCCTGGGAGTGGGACAACTTCTACACTGAATTTGGGGCAAAGATGAAAGCTTGAACCAAAACTGTTTCTCCAGTCTATGCTCTTAGTCATACCACAGTCTTCCTATGTCTTCAAATAATCTCATGTAAAATGTTGTAATAGATACTACCGGGATGTCTTTAGTCACTTTAGAGAAAGTATTCCAGTCAATCTGGAAAAATGTGAACATGGCTTCCAGGGAGCTGAAATTCAGAGAACTCCTGGCTGGGCCCTGTGGCTGGTCCCTGAGGGTCAGCAGGATTTGAAGCCATGAGGTAGGTGGGGAAGGACTGGCCCCTGGGCAGGGTGCTCTGCAGAAACCAGGCAGGCAGGAAGACAGCGGCCCCCACTTTGGCCAGGGCAGGGCCCGGTTGGCCCATTGTTGCTCACCTCACTGAGTAGTGAGGGGAGGAAGAGTTTTCAGAGGGAGCAGTTTAGGAGCAGAGTTCGACTATGAGCCACACTCTTGATGGCAGCACTTTTAAAACACATTGAGGTAGGCCGGGGATTCAGCCTGCTTCACAAGTGCAAGGTCCAGAGTTCCATTCCCAGTACGGAACAAAGTAAGACATTGCTGTGGAATGCTTTGAGCGCCATTTTAAAATATCAAGGACCCGAGTTCAATTTCCAGTACCAAAAAAAAAAAAAAAGATAAGTCCGAAAAAAAGCCAGGCATGGTGGCACATGCCTGTAATCCCAGCACTCCAGATGCTAAGGCAGGAAGGCTCTTGAGTTCAAGATCAGCCTGGGCTACATAGTGAGTTCCAGGTCAGTCTCAACTACACGGTGAGACCGTCTCAAAAAAAAAAAAAAAAAAAGTCACCTCTGTTGGGGCTGGGGGTGTATCTCGGTGATAGAGCACTTGCCTGACAAATTGGGTATCCCCAGTACTGTCCCCTACCCAAAATTACTTGGCCCCACAGTGATTGTGTTGTGCGTAGTTGTCTTATTTGGGCTTTTTGAGATTTGTTAAAGGAAAATATAAATGGTTAAAATCTAACTGTAGAAAAGAATATTGGGCATACAGTAGATTTCCCCTTCCCAAAAAACTGTCCCCAATCCTACTGTATCTTTCCGGATATCTCTGCATGTAGCTGGCTGCTTTCCTGTCTCAGCAGTTTCCCACACTGGGTGCTCACACATCAGGCACTTACTTGCTGAAGACTGTTCCTCCTATGGCCCTCAGGCCTGGCGCTAGGATTTTAGGTCATCATAAATTAAAATTGACTTTCTTCACTCAGAGGATATAAGGATAATGGGTTTATCTGTCTATGCGCTGAGATTTGTAGAATGGAACACTTAATAAAAAATTTATACACACACACACACACACACACACACACACACGCATGCATGCATGCATCCTACATCTTGCTTTTAGAGTTCTTTTAAAGGATAAGTATGCATGTTCATAATAATGTGCTCCAGCCAGAAGGCATTATGCCATTTTAAATGATGTAGATAGGGCTAGGGATTTAGATCAGTGGTTCTGCCGCCTGCCTGGCAAGGGAAGAACCTGAGTTCGATCCCAGGTACCAAAACACCACCAAAAAAACCCAGAAAAAGATTACGTAGGTAGACCTGTCTGTAGTTCAGCTCTCCTGGGCTGAGGCAAGAGGATCACGTGAACCCAGGAATTCAAGGTTGGGGGAGGGGTTGCTTTGTTTTAGGGCGGTGGGTGGTGGCTGAACCCAGGACTTTCATACTGAGGCTTTCCCCAGCCTTTTAAAATTTTTTAGACGGTCTCAATAAGATGCTTAATTGCCCAAACCGCTCAGCAAAGAACTAGAAGCCACCCTTTTCCCCAAGACTAAGCTTCCTGGGATAAGTACAATAAAGTGTGAAAGCAGAAATGACCTCAGGAGCCTCCCCTCCTCTGGGTCCTTGCGGCCTAACCACACTGTGAGAAGGAAGAGGAGCTGGGACCTGAGCGCGCCCTCAGCAGGCCCAGCCCAGAGCCGGCCCGCGGCGGCCCTGCGGAAGACCGGAGGCCCGGCTGGGCAACCGGAAGTCCACACGGCCGGCTGTGTGTTAGGGGAACCGCCCGCCTCCGTTCTTCCTTTGGTTGTCAGAGTATCCTCTCCTTTTTGAGGTTTTCCATTTTCTCCTCTGCCAAGCGTCCGTGTCATTGAAGGCTTCTAATTTGTTAGGGCCAGGGCTGTGGCTCACGGCACAACACTTCCCTAGCACCTGCAAGACCCTGGGGTCCAGAGTCTTCCGCAAGCCACTCCTATCTGACTGCTTTACTTGACCCACTTCCCCCTCTTCACAGCGAAGATGACATGTGTTCGCCCCTACCTTCTTGGATTTTGGTGAGACATTTTAGAACTTTGAGTCCCATGGTGTCTCCACATTTACTTACGACCTCTATCACAATTCATTCTCTTAATGCCCGTTCACTCGCAGTTTATTTGGGGTGGGAGGTTGCGCGGGCGGTCCCCCGCCGAGCCGGGCCGGGCCTCCCAGGCCAGGGCCTGAGGGCCTTTGCAGTCGCCCAGACGCGATCCTGGCTAAGGGAGCGGTCGGCCGGCATTCGGCCAAGTCCGACCGAGAAAAAAGGATCTGAGTTCGCTTGATTCTTAATGGTTTTAATGCCCAAAAAAGTTTGTAAAATTCAGGATTGTCCACTACTCATGATTGAAAGATCGGCAAGGGGAACCCGAGTCCGGAACCGTGAGGAAGTGGGCCCTATCCAGACAACAGCGGCTCCAAATTCCCGGCGGGCGGCGAACGCAAAATGGCGCCTGCCGTTCGTGGGCATGGTCTCCGCTGATTCACCCAATAGGAGTGCGGGGAAACGGGACGCTTGTCCTGCACGCTCTGTAGTTTAAAATGGAGTTTGAGTCCTTTTATTGGTCGAAACTGGGACGGGGTTGGTGGGAAAGGCCAATCACGGTGACTCTTGGAAGGGCCGTCGCCGTGGCAACGCGCGCAGCCGCGCGTCAGAGGCCTCCGGAGTAACTTGCCGACCTTCCTCCTCTGAGGCCCAGGTACGGCTGTGGCTTCCGCAAAGCGACAAACTGCTGACTACAAACCGCGGGTATTAGCGCGTCTGCGTCCTGCGTCCCACCCCGTGGCCTCAGACCGCCCTCGGTCCACTAGTGACTTGGTCCCTGCTCTTCCCACAGCTTGCAGAAGCCAGACGATGGAGGAGCGCGCCAACCTGATGCACATGATGAAACTCAGCATCAAGGTCTTGCTCCAGTCGGCCCTGAGCCTGGGCCGCAGCCTGGACGCGGACCACGCCCCCTTGCAGCAGTTCTTTGTGGTGATGGAGCACTGCCTCAAACACGGGCTGAAAGGTGAGCCTGGGCGTCCGAGAGCTACACTCTGCTGGCGCTGGCTTCGGTGTTCTGACAGCTGTGTGCAGAACAACTCCCTTGCCCTCCAGAAGCGGTACTCTAGAGCCGCGCTGTCCAAAAGAAGGGTGCAGAGACAGAAACAGCTTTTAATTTTCCACAGCCACTCTTAAGTAAAAAGAAACAAATGAAGCTAGTATAAACAGTACATCTTACTGAACCTAGCATTTCCGAAATAGAATTTTGACACGTAATCATTATTGTGAGGCTTATTAATGACACTCTTCATTCGCTTTGATTCCACCGTGAAAGTCCACTGTGTTTTATACTTCCAACGAATCTTCGTTCAGTTGTCATTAACAAACACTGGCGGGTGCTCTGCAGGCAGCGTTAGGTGACTGGTCACTGCCTTGGACAGCGCAGTTCTACAAGACGAGACAGACAGTAAACACAGAAACAACCAGAATTGCAAAATGCTTCAAAGTCAAGGAAGCAAAGTGAGTTACATGCTAGAGAATTGAGGAGAGGAACTTTGAGCCGAGGTGGGAGGGGAAGGTCTTTTTAGGAAAGTGAAATGTGAGCTGAGACCCAAGGAGAAGATGGAAGCCGAGCTGCGGAGATGGGGCGGGGGTGACCCGTGCCAAGGCCCTGTGGGGTGACCTCGGTTGGAGGAGCTCCTGGAAATCCAGGCGTGCAAGAGGAAGTCCAGGGAGTGTGAAGGAGATGTATCATGCAGGGCCTTTAAGGTCACGTGAGGGAGTAGAGTTGATTTTACATGTATTTGAAGGATTTGGGGAAGGACTTGGTGCAAGTTTTGGACCAAAAAAAAAAGCACTAGGATTAGGGTTAGCATTAGGGTTTTAGGGTTTGGAGAACTTTAGAGCTAGAGTGACCTAATTTGCACTTGTAAAAGAACTTCCAGCTATGCCCAGAATAAATGGCAACAGGGTGGAGGTGACACAGTTGGGAGCAGGAAGACCGCTTAGGTTGTTACTAGAGCACTTCTGGTGAGAGGTGGCGATGATGATAGAAGAAATCAAGCATCGATGTTTCTATCAGGAGGAAGAGGGGGGATCTCCAGGTGAGTATAGACAACACCTGTTTTATTTTGGGGCAATAGAGAAGGTTAGCAAGTGTATCTGAGAAGCTGTCGGCAGAGGGTGGAGGAGCTGATTTGTTCTTGGCTGTTCCCAGTCCCTGGGACTGAATCAGAAGGGTGGAGCAGTGGTGCTCTGCACCTTTCCCTTGGCGTTTGGGAGAAAGATGGGCCCTGAAGCAATTTTGCAACATGTTCTTGTGAATAACACTTTTGTTTTCCCTTTTAGTTAAGAAGAGTTTTATTGGCCAAAATAAATCTTTCTTTGGTCCTTTGGAGCTGGTGGAGAAACTTTGTCCAGAAGCATCAGATATAGCTACTAGTGTCAGAAATCTGCCAGAATTAAAGTGAGTGAGAAGTAGTAATACCAGTTTGATGTTTTTAAAAATTCCCTTATATTTACTCATTTCCCAATTTCTTGCTGATAAAACCTTTTCTGACTTGGAACAAACTTTAATCCCAGTCCTACTGCTCGTTATCCACATTTTCTTGAGCAAGATTTTACATCTCTCTGAGCCTCTCTTTTGCATGAGCACAGTGATTGCTGCTTGCCCTACAGGTTGAATAGGTTGAAGAGGTATAGTTAAAGAGCAGTCAGAGGAAAAGGAGTCATTGTTAACACTCCCGTAATCTGGATGCAGCTGGACAGTGTGAGTAATGTAGTTTAGGCCACATCTTAGATTCCAGGACAAGGGGCACTGTGAATAGGTTGGGGCCAGTGAATTATTTACCATGTCAGGATTTGTCTTTGGGACCCCTACGCATCAGCTTAAAATCAAACTCTGGATAGAACACCCATAAGGCATCATCATGGAATCTGCATTCCTAAGGGCCCTTAGGGGTCTGTAAGGTGGTGGAAAGAATCCTCTGCAGTCTCCTTAGTGGGACTAACATTCAGCCTTCGCTTGATAGTTCTGCAGAGCCAGCCTTTTGGTTTTAGAAGGTAATAGCTACCACAGTAAAGATCTGCTGTCTGCCAGGCACTGTGCTGGCTTTATTAAGTCTGTCATCTCCTAGCAGATGATCAGAGGCAGCCCCTGATCCCCTCACGGGCAGTGTGGACACTGAGACTTGCCCAAGTTCTCTCGGCAAGTGAGTGGGGGAGCCAGGAGCAGATCACAGATCTGTTGTCTACAAACCTGTAGATCTCAGTAACCTTCACCATGGTCGACCTGTGTGCATTCTTCTCAAGATGACTAAGCCGTTGGTCCCTGGCACTAGTGCAGCCTTCTAGGCATATACCACTTCGCATATACCAACTTCTGAAATATTTCTTTGATGACCTCTTCTTTTCAGGGAGTTCGGGGGACTGAATTCAGGGTTTCATAGGCACCCTATCACTGAGCTGTACACTGGCCCAAGGCATTTTTGAAGTCTTAATGTACTGAGAGCCTACCATCCGATCCACCACATCACCATGTGTTTCCTTATTAACCCTCCCTCTGGTTGCTAAACAAGTAACAAGCTTATTGTACACCCTCACCCTGTCTGTCAAAACAGCAGACCCACTGGTTCTCTGCTCGTCGTGGTTTAGGAGGAACCTGGAGTTGAGGAGAGGGTCCTCTTTTGCTTCTTGAAGAGCTGCAGTGAGCCAGGGGAGGTGGCTCCGCCTGTGATCCCGGAACATTGGGAGATTGAGGCAGGAGGATCTCAGGTTCTTGCCAAACCTGGCCAACTTGGTGACTTAGTGAGATACTGTCTCAAAATTAAAATTTGCAGGGGCAGAGATTTGTCTCAGTGGCACCATGCCTGCCTCACAAGTACAAGGTCCTGAGTTTGGTCCCAGTACTGAAAAAATAGTTTTTGCAAAAAGGGCTGCAGATGTAGCTCAGTGCAAGGGCACTGAGTTCAAGCCACAGTACCGCCACAGTTCCACCACCGACACCAAAAAAAAGGTAAAGTGTTTTCACTGTTTTATTACGTATTAACAAAAGTTCTAAAAATTTCCATGGCATTTTGGAAATTTTATGACTTTTATTTGGAGTTTTGGGGTGGGTTTGGAAGTGGAGGATTTTTTGTTTTGTTTTGATTTTTAAGACAGGGTCTCACTATGTAGTTGAGACTGACCTGAAACTCACTATGTAGTCCAGGCTGGTCTCAAACTCACAGCGATCCTCCTGCCTCAGCCTCCTGAGTACTGGGATTACAGGCATGCGCCACCACACCCGGCAAGGATTTTTTTAAAGTAGTTTGAAACAGTATAAATTTTATATTCCTGGGAAAACGTCTCCTAGAGTTTAATACTCGCGTCTAATTGAGATTTTAAAAATATTTCATCATGACCTATTGCCAAAATGTCTCACCATTTTCATGCCGCAGTTTATTACTGAATGAAGCTTTAGAGATACCAACTGCGAACACTGTACCTTAAACCAGGCAAGATTTCTGTTTCTTTAGAAAATCAAAAATGGCTGGAAATGTAACTCAGTGGCATTACACCTGCCTGGAAAGTGCAAGGTCCTAAGTTCGATCCCTGGTACCAGAAAAAAAAAAATGAAAATGAAAAACATTTTTTTTGTTCTGTTTGTTTTTGTTTTGTTTGTTTTTGTTTTGTTTTGTTTTGAGACAGGGTCTCACTATGTAGTTGAAACTGACCTGGAACTACTGTGTAGCCCAGACTGGTCTCAGACTCACAGTGATCCTCCTGCCTCAGCCTCCTGAGTTCTGGGATTACAGGCGTGTGCTACCTCACCTGCCTTCTAATTGCTTAATTTTTAATTAGGAAATAAAAACAAGCCAGAAACAAAATGAGATTGTCATACTTCCTCCATTACTCTATAACCAAGGATTAAAAATACTTAGGGTTGGGCTGAGGATTTGGCTCAGTGGTTCTGCCGCCTGCCTTGCATAGCACAAGGGCCCAAGTTCGAGCCCTAGTACCAAAAAAAAAAAAAAAAACTTAGGGTTGCAGGCATAGCTCAAAGGCCCTGGATTCAGTCCCCCACACCTTCCAAAAAAAGGCAAAGAAAGGGGAGAAAAAATATACTAGCATCTTGATCAGTATCCTTTTAGATCCTCTGGCACATTGTCAGTCAAACCTGAGATTCTGTTTTTATTTTATCCCGCACCCCACTACATCTTGTCATATTGTACTCATTCCTGTGGAGGACCCTTGGCACTGCCCAGCAGCTACAGATGCGTCTGCCCCGACCCTCACTCCCACTTCTAGGCAGCTCTTCTGTGGATGTAATACACGACTCAGCACTGTACGCAGTAGCACTCAGAGTCCCTGCTGCTTGGGGCTGGCACCTGAGGATCACTTGAGCTGAGCAGTTCAGGACCAGCTGGACAACATATGAAGACCTCATCTCAGAAATGAAAGTCATGACTACACATTGCAGCATCACTGGTGACAGCAGAAGATTAACACCAGTGGTCCATTACCGAAATGCTGAAGGTGAAAGTGTGTGTGGATATGGAAAGACTTTCAGGATGACAGATTCTCAGTGAAATAAGTAAATTGCCAAACAGCATGGGTTTGGTTTTGGTTGGTTTTTTTAAAAGGTGAGAAGAATAAGAGCTTGTGCTTGTTTGCACATAGAAGTGAAATGGTGTATTTAATGGGTGTACAAGAGGGACGGGCAAGCGGAGGATAAGACCCAGAAAGTTTTGGAGCTGAGTGTCTGTACTACAGCACTTCCCGGTTTAAACCAGGGGTGGGTGTCACTGCCTCTTCCCAAAGCAACAGAAAGTTCAGCATTTGTAAAGTGCACGTACTGTTTTATAGCTTTTTCCATTTAATGTTAGATTTTAAACTCATGTCGAATATTTGCCCACATCTTTTTTTTGTTAGTGCCTATTTTGTATCTGGCACAGTATTTGTACATGTGTGTAGGGCACATACATGTGCCTGTGCACATCATGTAATAATCCGCTCGGGTGACACCTGTCTCTTCATACATTGAGCGTTTCTTTGTGTGTAGAATCTTTTTTTTTTGGTATTGAAAATCTAACCCAAGAGTGCTTTACTAGTAAGCTATATCCACAGGTCTTTTTGTTTTTGATTTTGAGACAGAATCTTACTAATTTGCCAGACTTGCCTCGCACTTGTGATCCTCCGGCCTTAGCCTCCTGAGTTGCGGGGATTACAGTCGTGTCCCACCATACCTCACACCTAGCTCACACTATAATTTTTAAGTGGCCAAATAGTATTCTTTTGTACAGTTAATTTTTTAAGTCCCTGTATGTACTTTGCAGTTGTCTTCAGATACTCATTTTTTCTGTGATATGGTAACCATCCCAAACATAAATTTTTGTGTCTCCTCTAAATTATCACCTAAGTACCTACTGCTAGATGTTGAATTTTGAAATCTGTTTTCATCACATTCTCAGCTGGAAAAATTGTACCACTTCACATTCTTACCAAGCAGCACATCTCAGCCTTCATTTTTCCCACCGCGCCAACATTACATATCTTTTACTCCTACTTTCCTCCCTCCTTTTTTCTGACTTAGCATCATTTCTGGGGGAATGGTCAAAGCCTGTTATTCTTGAAATGAGGGTAATCGTTCTAAGCCTGGCTTCTGAAATCTGGGGGCACATGACCTGCACCTGGTGAGGCCTTTGGTCCTGCGAGCTTTCTTTCATACAGACTACTAACTAGTGTTGCCTTTACTTTTATGTATGTTTTGTTTTTTGAGCTTTTTTTTTTTTTTTGTTTTTTTTTTTTTTTTTTTTTTTTTTCTGGTACTGGGGATCGAACTCGGGATCTTGCGCTTGTGGGGCAGGTAATGGCACCACTGAGCTAAATCCCCAGCCCTGCCTTTACTTCTTAGATGTTAATAATGCCTAGAACAAAATCTCCTTTCCCCTAAACAGTTTCAGTTCTGTTATTAGAAGGCTTCTCTTTCTTTTAATGAATAGTGTGGACCTTTTCAAAACTGCAGCATGGAACCCGATTGCACAGCAGTGTGAAGGTTCCCAGGGTGACGTGCTCGTAAAGATGGCTGAGGTGGCAGCATACGCAGTGTGTGTCATTCACCGTATTAAAAATATAGCCTGGGCCGGGGATTTAGCTCAGTGGTTCTTCCGCCTGCCTCACAAGCACAAGGACCCAAGTTTGATCCTCAATACCAAAAAGAAGCTTTTGCATGTTCACTAAAAATACAGCCTCGCCTGGAAGCGCAACTTTAGGCCAGTGTCTCAGAAGTCTGTGAGGCTTCAACACTGCCACGCACTGTGACCTGTGTTAGTCTTTTGAAAGAGTGTCCATCATACCAACCTCAACTGCTGTCCCCTGGCTCCCTGTGAAATTTTATACATGCAGAGTTCTAATTTTGTATTTGTTATACAAGTCAGAATTTTGTGGTTTAAGATTTTTTTTCCTTTTGTTCGAAAAAAGACAAAGCACATGCTTGTGGTGTGAAATTCAAACAGTCCCGGAGGCGTGTGCCAGCGTCTTCTCTGCTGTCTGCACACAGCGCCTGCCAACCTCCAGCCCTCCCCGCTCTGCGCCCAGAGCAGGAACGGGAGTGCTGCATTCTGTATCTCTTGTCACTGTCCCAAGCGCCACACAGCTTGTTCTCTGCTTGAATTCCAGGACGGCCGTGGGGAGAGGCCGAGCGTGGCTCTACCTTGCCCTCATGCAGAAGAAGCTGGCAGATTACCTGAAAGTGCTGATAGACAACAAGCATCTCCTAAGGTATTGCTCCACCTGTCCCTGCTTTTCTTTTGCATGTAAATAGTGACAGCACAATTCTGCAGGCCATTTTGAATTAAAATAAGAGTATATAATGTTCACAGCTTTTATGGAAATTATTATTAATCTTCAGAATTCTGTGGCTTAGTTTTAAAATGGCAGTGCTGGTTTCTCTTCTGAGCACTGATAGCTAAAAGTCATTATGAATGCAGATTCATATGACTTCATTTTGGAAATTTTTCATTTCAAAAATATTAATACCTAAGAGTAACAGCCTATTCCATTAACTTTCAGTGAGTTGATATTTATTAGATTATGATAACAGAAAAGATTACTTCAGAACTAGGTATAATGGACAGTTGTCCTTTTTCTGTTTTTTTCTGGTACCAGGGATCAAACTTGGGACCTTGCACTTGTGAGGCAGGCATCAGCACCACTGAGCTAAATCCCCGGCCCTATGACTAATTTTTTGTTACTGTTTTGTTTTTGTTTGCAGGGGTGGGTTTCAGTTTTCTCTCTCTTTTTTTTTTTTTTTTGTGGGGTGGGGGATTCAGTTCTGAGATTGAACCAGGGTCTTTGCACTGAACTCTATCCCTGCCGCTCCCCACCTTTTTGAGACAGTCTTATTAAATCACCAAGTTACCCAAGTGGGGCTCAAACTTGCAATCCTCCTCCCTCAGCCTCCCAGAGTACTGGAATACAGGCATGTACACCACTCCTAGCTGAGAAATACTGATTTACCCAGTAACAGAATCCTGTTACACTGAATAATTTTGTGTTACAGATTTTATCCTAATGAAGAAATTGTTCATAAGTTCTCTCTCATGCACATGTATACATTCACTGTGGTCTGGAAACCCCTAGATGTCATAAACTGGTAAATCACTGGAGGCTGGAAACGGCATTAGGTAGTAGAGGAAGTAAGGAAACAAAAGCAGGAAGTGTTGCTCAGTGGGACACAGGAGGAGGGAAGAGCTTTGTTCTCTGAATTAGGAGGCTGTTTCTAAGAGGGTGACGGTAGAGACAGTGGTATTGCTGTGGAAGAGGAGCCTGGGGAGACAGGGGTAGAGGGCTGGTCTGGAGGGCAGGACCACAAGGTGGGGAGAGGTACTGGGTCCAGGATCTAAATGAAGCCATTTTAGCTGGGTACAGTAGTCCGTCCTAAGAGACGTGAAGAAAGGAGAGGATGCAGACTCAGCCGGCCTTCATCACTACTGAAACACCTGAGCTCATCAGCTGACACTGAGAAAAGGGTTAGTTCTGGCTCGCAAGGTTTAGAGGTTCCGTGCCTGACTAGTTGGCCCAGGTGCTTTGGGTTTGAATCCATAGTGGAGTTACACTGCACACCTCCTGACCAGAGGCAAGAGGACAGAGTCACCCATGCAAACAAAGGCTCTGGCAGGTCCGCCTCTGAAGTTTCTAGCCTTCAGTCCCACCGTGCTGCATGGTGGGCAGCCCTGCAGCCGAGAGCCCCCTGCGGTGGCCACATGGCACTCCTACTGCTCAGTGGCTGGAGCCCACGAGTTCTGGACCAGCCTGGGCCCTGTCCCAAAAAAGGTTGAGGGGATTAGCTCAGTGGCTCTGCGCCTGCCTCGCAAGCACAAGGTCCTGAGTTCGATCCCTGGTACCAAAAACCAAAAAGATCAAACTGGCAGAAAGGAAATGGAAATGGCAGCACTTGACACAGTGGAAGGAAATGCTAGGGAAAAGAATATTCACGCAGGCAGCTTGCCGGGAGGGTAGGCATAGAGGCGGCAGGGAAGGCCTGAGCGCAGCATGGCTTACCCATCAAGGGCTCTCTTTCAGCGAGTTCTATGAGCCTGAGGCCCTGCTGATGGAGGAGGAAGGCGCGGTGATTGTCGGTCTGCTGGTGGGACTCAATGTGCTCGATGCCAACCTCTGTCTAAAGGGAGAAGACCTGGATTCTCAGGTAAACAGGGATTCAGTTCCAGGTAGGATGCACTAGGCCAGGGATTTTACACAGGGTTTGCAGGAGGAGGTGGACTGAGCAAGGGACCTGCCGGGACCCCTGTGACAGAGGACCACAGGTGCTGCCTGCCACAGAGGGGAGGCTGGAAAAGGCTCCATTCATCCTGCCCCTGGAGCTTGGGCAGGTTTTAAGCATTGCACTGAAAGGATTGCTCCTGGTTTAAGAGCTCAGGCCTGCAGCTGTGCAGGCTGAGGTAGAAGTAGCTACAACAGAGACAGCAGATGCACTGAGGAGACTCAGTCCCCAAGGGAGGAAGGGCCGGGGGCGGGGGTCCAGTTGCTGACACGGGGCCTAGGAGAGCAGCAGGGCAAAAAGCACCGTGGGGAGGGTCAGCCCTCGGGTGGTCCTTCCTCCCACAGGAAGCAGTGGTCAGGCTGAGGCCTGCACTCCTGGGGCCAGGGAGACGCCTGACCCTCCATCTCCTCCGAGACCCTGTCAGCATTTGGGGAGTTACAGTTGGTTTTGGTCTTGGGGTTCGGGGTCAAACCCAGGGCATCGTGCTGCCAGGTAGGCAGTTCACCACTGAGCTAGATCCCCGACCCCATCCCCTTTTAGTTTTGAGACAAGGTCTCGCCGGACTGGCCCGGACTTGTGATTTCCCCTGCCTCAGCCTCCTGAGTAGCCTGGATTACAGGATGGGCACTGCCCTGCACCTGGTTATTGTTTTTTTTTTTTTAAATCAAATGTGTATTTTTGTACCTTTAAGTAATCTATCATTTGTTTTGACATGGTTTGAAGGAGGAATCTACATTCACAAATACTTAACCAGTTTTTTCAAAATCATCTACTAAAGATGCTGTTTTTCTGCTAATGTGGAGTCCCCCTTTGTCACACGTGAACCTTCCAGGCTCACCTCTGGACCCCTCTGTGTGGCTCCTGTGTTCACCCTTGTATCACTGGCATGTTCTGCACTGTGCTAGCCAACCTTCTGCCAGTGCTGCTTTGCTTCTTCAGATACTTTTAGGCCATCCGTTCTGCCTGGGGTATTAGGACATCATTTTGTCAAACCCCAAGATAAAACCCCACTGAGATTTGTGCCAGTGGTAGATGTGCCTGACCTAACCTCTTGTCAGAAGGCAGCCCGGTCCTGTGTCACTGCTTCTCATGCTGAGCAAGTACTGTCCTGTTTCAGTTTGCATTTTTAGTAGAAGTGAACACAGGATGCTGTCAGATTCCTTCTTCTACATCTACTGGGATATGTCTCTTTTCATTCATAAGTATAACTGGATTAATTTGTGGATTTCCCATTATATTATTCATGCATCCCTAAACTGACCCTTGCTTGGGCATCATGCTTATGGTTTATCTGGCATTTCTACGTCTCTGCTTATAGGTCAACCTGTCCTAACTTTTCTGTAGTGTCCTTACCACGTTTCAACATCAGAATTGCATGAGATTCATAATAATAAACAGGATAATGTTGTTCTTCCTTTCCTTGTTTGAACAGAATTTTTTTTCAAGATTTGCTAGAATTTACTATATGACCATGTCAGAGCTAGGCATGGTGGCACATGCCTGTAATCCCAGCACTCGGGAGGCTGAGGCTGGAGGATCACCAAGAGTTCAAGGCCAGCCTGGGCTACATAGTGAGTTAAGGCCAGCCTGAATTGCCTAGTAAGACCCTGTCTCAAAAACAGGGGGGCGGCTAAGGATTTAGCTCAGCAGCACTGCACCTGCCTTGCACGTGCAAGGTCCTGAGTTTGATCCCATGTCAGACTTATGCCCTTTTTTTTTGGTGGTGGTACTCGGGATTGAACTCAGGACCTTCTGCTTGTGAGGCAGACTGTGGCACCACTGAGCTAAATCCCTGGCCCTTTGTGTCTTTTTCAGTCTTGCTACTTTCTTAGTGTGCACACGCTTGTGTGCATGTCAGAGCCTCACTGTGTAGTTCAGCCTTGACTTGAACTCACTGTGTCCTTTTGCCTTGAACTTGCAGCGATCCGCCTGCCTTAGCCTTCCAAGTAGAATTACAGGCATGCACCACCATCCCCAGCTTCTCTTTAATTCTGTGCATAGTTTTTGGTCAATTTGTTGGTTTTTCTCTCTCGGGAGTCAAACTCAGGCCTTGCGCTTGCCAGGCAGGCACTGCACTGCTGAGCTACATCTGCGGCCCTGGTTTTCTAACTCTTAGAACAACTTTTAAGCCATTTTTATTGTCCTAGAAATCATTTCTTCCAGATACTGTAAACTGAAGTTGTGTGATAGCGTTCTGCTGTAGCTTTCTAAAATCTCACCGCTCTCCTTCATGATGTTTACATTTGTCACATATCCCCTGTGCTCATGGAGGCTGATCTGCTCTGTTGAGCTTTGAAAAACCAGCTTCTGTTCGTCGGTTCCACGTTGGGAGGAGAGCTTGGGTGCTCGCTTCATCAGCACACGTGCAAAAAATAGGAGGAAAGCTTGGCTTGCCTTCTAAGCCATTAGTGTCTGCCTTAGGTATCAATTCTCATTCTTTTTATTGCTGGAGTTTTCCTCCCGTTGAATATGTTTTTTATTTTTATTATTTAGTTTTCATTACACAGTGCATGTTTTTTGAAAAAAACAGCTGGTGACACAGAAGTGTATAAGTTCAAGCATCCTGTCGGTTTGCCTCTCAGCCCTTCCTCCCCACACCCGAGGGTAGCGATGTCTCACCTCGCTGCATGTGTATGTACACAGGTTTTGTTTTAAACTAACCCTTCTCTGGTTTTCTGTCCCTGTTAAGGAAAGGCAAGGTCACGGGTAGTCGGAGAAGGCGGTCTTGTGAGGCACCGCTGTCCGTTGTGGCCCTTCCATGAGGTCTGCAGCATTGTGGCTTCCTAAGTGAACACTGAGAATATCAGAGGGTGTGTCCACAGAGAAGCCACAAAAGCCACACGGTGTTGTGTCTTCTGCATTTTACTCAGTGAAACTGGAACTGAGGCCCTCTCGGTTCCAGGACTGGGAGCATCAACTGATTCCTGTCATTGGCAGATAGAGGTTGGAGAAGGTGTCTGCACATCTTAAAGTCGTCACACAGTTTTCGTGTTTGTGTAAGGGGTCACTGTCACAGGGCTGTCGCTGTACTTGCTGTTCTCTGACTCCAGACTGTGTCCTGGAGCTTCCTTCATATTGTTGCACAGCAGTCCACATTCTTTTTTATGGTTCTGCGTAACCAGTACGACATGAGTGATTTAAAGGCTTCCTCACACACAGACATTTAGGTTGTAGGCAGTGTGCCTGTATCTCAAATAGGAACGGCGTCCCCTACTCTCACATGCTTTATTCTGAAAGAGCCCTCTCCCTTGTGGAGAGGGGGACAAAACCCTTGCTGCTCAGATGGGTGAGGAGTTTTGGTCCTCCCTAATTCCCAGGGGTGACAGAATTTTCCCGGGAAAACAGACTAGACCATCTCACCAAAACTGAAGTAAAAAAGGACCCAGAAACATCACTACTTTTTTCTAAAGATCTAGGTCTCTTTTTTTAAATTACTTTGTACACAAAGGACTTCATTAGTCTGTATAAACAATGTGCTCTTTTTGAATATAGGCAGTGGTGGTGAATTCTCTGAATTTCAAGGCTTGAAAGGCTGGTAGGAAATGAGAAACGTATTTTACTAAACCTGTGTATTTTATTTCTATCAGGTTGGAGTAATCGATTTTTCCCTCTACCTGAAGGACGTGCAGGATCCTGATGGTGGCAGAGAGTAAGTACCACATAGCATGCTGTTGCTCTTTTCTTTTCTTTTCTTTTCTTTCCTTTTTTTTGTACAGGGGATCAAACTCGGGACCTTGCATTTGTGTGGCAGGTGGTAGAACCACTTAGCTGAATCCCTGGCCCTGTTCTTTTTAATTTTAATGAAATTCTGGCAGAGAACACTATTTTTTGCTTTGAGATTTCAGTGTTTGTGGAGTTGTTTTTAATTACATAGGTGATGTGCGGCATTTGCACTGTTCGAGGGACGGAGCACTGCACGTGGCGTTGGCCCGTCCACCCTGTCCCTCCCATCGCCTCCCTCTCAAATCCCACTCTTGCCCTTGGGAGAAGCTCCTCTTTCCACTGCTCTTAAGCCTCTTCTCAATACCTTGCACGAATATGCTTTTTGGTAGTACTTTTGTTTTAGTTTATTTGAAAGAAAATGGGATGCTTCTGTGTAAATTGCTGTGTTGGTCAGCTGTCTTGTTGCTGGGGAAAAACTACCTTACGACCACTGCTTTTTAAGAGGAGAGGTTTATTGTGGCTCTTAGTTTCAAAGAGTTCAGTTCATGGCCAGCTGGCTCCAGTGCAAATATCACAGTGGAAAGGCATGGAGAAGGAACGCTACTCACCTCCTGGCAGCTGGAAACAGGACAGGGGTAGGGGCCAGGGCCCAGATGTACCATAGTACCCAGTCTCCCACCTCCAGGAGCCGCACATACCCAGGGTGGGCTGTACTAATCCCAAGGCAGCTTTCAGGCCAGTTGTGTTGGGAGTCCATCTTGCCCATCTTGCCTTGGACTTGTTTTTTGATCATTCTGCATCTTGAATGTCTTTTCATGCTGCTGCATAGCTCTCCTTCACCCTTGTTAATAAGAGCATTCTTTGTAAAAGAAATTACCTAGGAAAAGAAGGAAAAGGGAAAAAAAAACAATGTGGATAACATGCCACCATTTATATTATAATAAAAAAGATACGCCCTAACACTAAGTGCAAATGTATTTGGTTTTTAAAAATAAAAATAAAATAACATTTTTAAATAAAAAAGGGTATGCATACGTATTTACATGTTATATATTCATTGCGCGAGACATTTCTAGAGTGATGCATCAGCCTGATAACTAGCAGGCGTGGGGAAGGTTTTCCCTGTAAACCCAGGGTGTTTGAGTAGCTCTCCCTGCAGGCCCTGCCTCTCACACTTCCTAACCAGAACTCTCAGAGTGCCCCCCACAAAGGAGGAGTAGCAGGACCCATGCTTTGTGCACTCTTGAGCACAAAGGCCATTTGAAATTTAAGATTTAATCTTAATTTATTCTTAATGTAAAAAAAAATAGAGCCAGCACAGTGGCAAACACCTATAATCTATTTCTTGGGTGGGGGGCTGAGGCAGGAGGATCACCATGAGTTCAAAACCAACAACCCTGTCTCAAAAAAAAAAAAAGTAGAGATAAACTGATCATCTGACAGTAAAGGAAAAACTGGATGAATTATGGACCATCCATAATATTCCACATTAAAGTGTATTGTGCAAGTATAAAGAATTAATTTGAAGGCTGAGGCAAGAGGATCACCATGAGTATGAGACCAGCCTGAACTACATAGCAAGACCTTGTCTCAAAAAAGAAAAGAAAAAAGAAAGAATTTGAGCTACTCATATAGTAGAATTAGAGGAATTTTCCAATTCCTGTTTACTATTGAATGAGAAAGGTATAGTGCTAGGCAGTATATATGTCTCACTTTTATAAGTAAACCCAAAACTCCAATATATACTTTGTATTTGAATTCTGAATACTGTGTATATTAATAATGGGTTGCCTGAAAGAGCTATGTAAAAAGGGCAGAACAGGTAAAAGAAAAAAGAACTACACAGAAATCTCAGCTCCTCGGGAAGCTGAGGTAGAAGGATCATGAGTTCAGGGCCAGGCTGGGCAGCTCAACGACTTGGCAGACCCTGTCTCAAAAGAGAAAAGATAGAAGACAAGTCCAGCAGCGATGGCGTGAGCAGTATAGGATGACCCACGCCTGCAGTCACAGCACTCGAGAAGCTGAGGCAGAAGGGTCATCAAGAGTTCAAGGCCAACCTAGGGTACACACAGTGAGTTCAGTACCAGCCTGGACTACATAATGAGACTCTTGTTACAAAAAAAAAAAAAAAAAGAAATTTTAGGGGGCCGGTG